CCCTCTGGTATCATAAAATCTGAATATTCCACTCTGTTCTGTGCCTAAAAAATCCACACCCTCTACAGGAGACTCTAGAAGAAATCATATCACTGCTCTCTTTCAGAATGATTTTGAAATATTTCCACCAGAGACCATTCCTCTGAGGCTGGAGGAAGCTCTGGCTCATGCTCCATAATGGACTGTGACATTTCTTTATAGCTCTTCCAGGAAGGACCCCTTTCAGGACCATTAAGAAGAGCATGGACAAGAATACATGCAGCGGGGGAAAAAAAAAAGGACCAGAAGGAAATATGATAAAGTGTCAGCACTGACTTTCTCAGGATGGTAGGACAGTGTGAAATATCCTTCTCCATACTTTTCTGTAATGTTTAAATTTTTCAATAATCAACATGCGTTATGTTCATAATAATAAAACAGTATTATTTTTAAAGAAAAAGACAGTCCTGGTATGTCTGCATTGACGCATGAGTAAATCTCGAATTGCTTTTCCTCACTGATATACACAGACGTCATCCACACCCTAGGAAAGTAAGCCCTTATTGGACAGCTGAGTGGGATGCAAAGGAAGTGCAAATGACCTCGGGTCAATCTCCTTCCTAGATCATGGGTTCCCCGCCCGACTGGGGACAGATCAGAATCTGAAACCCTGGGCCAAATAAGCCGGAGATGGTCCCCCCGCCCAGGAAAGTGCCCTGAGCCTCAGGATGAAGGTCACTGAGCTTCCGGAAGCAGAGAGAGCTCTCAGAATCCCTCCCTGCAAATATTTGAGAACAATTTTCCTGGCCTCCACGCTCAGGTTGTCTTGTTTTGTTTCATTTTTGCCAGATAAACCTCCCTCCCTTGCTTCAACCAATCTCATTCATATGAACTTACTTCCATCACTGGTTACTTCCATCGGCCACAGCTGCCAGTATCTACCACCGCCCTTAAAATGTGCCTCCAGGGGCACCTGGGTGCCTCAGTCAGCTGAGCATCGGACTCTTGATTTCGGCTCAGGTCATGATCTCGGAGTCCCGGGATCGAGCCCCGGGACGGGCTCCACACTCAGCGGGGAGCCTGCTTGTGGATTCTCTCTCCCCCTCTCCCTCGCGCCCCTCCTGCTCTCCCCCTCTCTCAAATAAATAAATAAATCTATAAAAAATAAAAATAATTAAAATACGCCTCCAGATCTGTCTCAGCTGTGACAGGCTGTATTAGGGCCATCACGGCCCTTGCTTGGAACACTGTGCCCTCATTAATCTTAAGATCCAGCTACAGTGGAGAGGTTAAAAGCAGAGCCTGGAACCAGACTGCCCAGTTCGAATCCCAGCTCTGACACTGACTGTGGGACGTTGACCAAACTCTTGGCCATCTCTGTGCCTCAGAGCAAAAAGTGGGAATAACAGTACTGACCCCCAAGGGTAGCTAGGAGGGTTAATGGGGCTCATCCTGGGTAGTCTATAGAACATTCCCTGGCACCCTGAGGGTGATGCCAATATTAACTGTTGTTATTACGACCGAAACGGCACTGGCATTCCTTTAGCTTCTTCTGTCTTGTTGTTGGGACGAGAGAGGAGCGTAGCGCCGCTAAAACTCCACATTGACTGATATTAAGATTAAAGGAAACCCCCGCAGGCCTCAGACTTTCCCCATCTGGGAATAACGCCATTGATTTTTGAGCCTAGAGGCAGCAAGGTGAATTTGCATATTTCCGAAAGAAATTCTAGAGAGGAAGTGAGAGACGAGGTGAGAGAGGGGCAGAGAAAGAACAGGGACAGGGAGACAGAGAGAGAGAAACAGAACAGATTGAAACTGCTAGCCCGGCATCAGGAAGGAGGGCCTCAGAAAAGCTGTTCATTTCCCAGCTGGGTCGTTGGCTTTTTTTTCCCCCCCCTGTTGGCGCGCTCCTTTTTTTCATTTGTGTTCATACTTCCCCCTCTTGTGGCTCATCAGAAAATCGCAAGTGTTCCGCGCCTGCCAGTGGGTTTAAAAACTGGTGAGCAATCAAGGCTGGCAGTTCGGGCCAAGGCAGCTGGGTCAAACCCAGGGAGGCGGGCCAGGCTGCGTAGCAACCACACACATCACCTGCTCCTTCGGCAAGCTCCACAGGAGGACAAAGCACCGGGTCCTCTCTCACATCATTAAAGACGGAAGAGCTCCGGCAAGGAACACCTGTTCCTCTCAGGGATGCCCCCAAAGGGCTTTGGGGCAGGGGGGCATGGGCTTATGTGGGGACAGGCCAGTAGGACAGAAAAGGCATACCAGCAAGTCCAAAGGAGAAGTGGACGCCTCGCTGCTCACAGCTCCCTGTCCCAAGCCATCCTCGTGCCTTTGCCATACTGCCCCACACCAAGTGCCTGTCCTTCTAGAACCAGGGTAAACGGCACCCCTCTCGTGATACTTTTACCAGCCTCTCCCCAGTCCCTTACCCCAGTGGAGGTGTTTTCTCTTCTCCCTCCCCACAGCACCTTATCTCAGCCTCTAAGTTGGCACTGGTCAGGTCTGCTTCTATTGCAGTCGTGTGTGTCCTTGTCATAACCCCCAACATTACAGTGAAGAGGAAAGGGAAGAGGCTGGGTTTTATTAATCTCCAAAGAGGGGTGCCTGGGTGGCTCAGTCGTTAAGCATCAGCTTTCGGCTCAGCTCACGATCCCAGGGTGCTGGGATCGAGCCCCGCATCGGGCTCCCTGCTCAGCCGGGAGCCTGCTTCTCCCTCTCCCACTCCCCATGCTTGTGTTCCCTCTCTCGCTGTCTCACTCCCCCTGCTTGTGTTCCCTCTCTCGCTGTCTCGCTCTCTGTCAAATAAATAAATAAAATCTTTAAAAAAAAAAAAAAAATTTCCAAAGAGCCAGCCTCCAGTCCAAGACCTGCGGCAAAGGAGGTGCTTAGGAAGCATTTGATGAATGTTCTTCAGTCACGCACTTGGACGCCTCTGTTCCATGATCGAGGGGCCAGGTGAGGCTGGGTCTGAGGGTACACTAGTCCCAAAGTGCATGCATTCCTTTCCAGGAAGATTGCCCAGACAAAGACATCTACAGTTCTCTACATCCCCATCTCAAATTTATAGCCCACCTGCATTTAGAAAGTATTTCAATGATCTCTGCTACTTATTTTTAAATGATTCAGAAGAAAAGGATGGAACAGAGGGAGGGAGGGAAGAGGGAAGGAGAAGAAGGAGGAAGAAGAAGAGAGGAAGACAAAGAAGAAGAGAAGGAGGGGAGGAAGAAGGGGTGGGGGAGGGAAGGATGGGAAGGAGAAGATCGCAAAACGTCACAGTTGGTGACTCAAGCTGCAGGAGGTATGGAGAGCCATTGTAGCTCTCTTTCCACTTCTTTGTAGTTTTGATATTTTTCAAAACAAAAAGTTGGGAAAAAGGCAAAAAAAAAAGGTATTTAAAAATCATTGCCAAGTTTGAAAGTAAAATAAATAGCAGAGTAAGAAATAAAATCAGGACACAAAAAATATTGTCAACCTAGGAGCCATGAATGGGCTTTAAGGGTTACACAGCTCAGGAAATCGTAAGTACAAATGCTGCTCGTGCCTTTTCGAGGAAGTTTGTAACTTCCATCAGACTCTCAAGGGATTTGGAACATCCCCTGCCCCTCAAAATGTTAAGATAGTAACCTAAAGGGAACCAAAAGAGTCACTGTGACCAGACACCAAGAGAAGAGGTTGCGCTGGAGAATGACTGAAGTCATCAAATTTGAGAGACAAGAGATGCCTCCGAGATCATGTAGCCCAGACCTCTACGTCCAGATGGGGAAACTAAGTCCAAAGAAAGATCACCGAGTTTGACGCCAACAAATTTAACATGTTTCACTGGCTCCTAAATGACAACTGGGCTCACAATACTGCCCTTATGCCACGGGGACTTTTCTCCCCCCAGAAAAGCCATCCTGAAAAACATTAGCAGACAATGGCTGTTTGTCGGCCCACCTAGACCAGGACAGACATCTTTGTTCTGAGCCAGATGACCGCATTCTTACAGAGCTGACTGCTGAGGACGCTTTGTCGAGAGGGCTGCGGGTGTCTCGCTGGGATCAGGGAGACTCTCCGCTGTAGGGTAGAAGCGGGCCACTAACTAAGATTGATGGATGGTTCGAGCCCTGGCAGGCCCAAACAATGCGGGGCCGGCCAAGTGGGGGAAAAAATTAGTTTGCAAAGATTAGGACGTATTAACACAAGTCCGACAACTGTCATGTCACAGCTCTTCGCCGTAATGCTGATTGGCAGGCAAGCATTTCTGATTCTGATAGCCACGGAGGCGAGGCGTCCGCAATCTGTCTCGCATGACATCCACCGGCTGGCAAATCCCCCCTGCTGGAGAAGTCAGCTTTTCTTAGAAAACTGTGCCCCCTGGGTCTTGTTTGGCAGGCCCCCCTGGCCAAAGGTGCACCGGCAAGGTGGGAGAAGGCAGGGAGCACGTGTGGGCTGTCAGGAAGCTCAGCCGAAGTGGAAGGTAGGCTTCCTGAGCTCAGAGCAACAAGTACTTCTCCTGGATCAGTCACAGGCCTGGAGCCAGGAGGTGGATGGCAGGCCGAGGCAGGAGGCACCAGGACCCCCCGACTTAAGGAATGTTCGACTTCACGGGGGAGCACAGACCTACGCCTGTGGCCAAGATCCACAAGGATGCGAAGCGGTCCAGAGGTAGCAAGGCCCTGGCCGGGCCAGCCCCCTCCAGCTGATGCTAATGCGAGCCCACTTACCTCTGCCCCACCCCCTGTTCTCGGAACTAACAGGAGGCCTATCAGCGTATCAGTTTTCATTACCATTCGAACCTGAAGAATTTGGAAATAGGACTGACTTACACCCGTCCTGAGGGGCACTTTTTCTTTATTTGTCTGCATTGTTTGAAATGTTTAATGTGGGCCTGCAAAATTGACTTTGTTAAATATTGAGTAAGCACAAACGAAGCTTTGCAAAACTGTGCATATTAGTCCACAGAGGCTAGGCTAAATGCAGTGACCAACTACTCTCAAGTATTATGGGGCTTAACACAACAAACGTAGATTTCTTACCTCTACGAAATCCACGGCCCATCCAGACACCTCTCCAGGGTAAGTCTTGTAGGAGAATGAAACTCAGCAATCCAGGCTGCTTTGATCTCGTGGCTCCTCCATAACAGCCTGAGGTCACGAAGGGAAAGAGTAAGCTGAAGGTCACCCACTGACTTTTTCATGCTTTGATCCAGAAATCACACATGCGCTCCCACACACACACACACACACACACACACACACACACACACGGGTGGCCTGCAGCTCATTGGCTTGAACCTGTCACATGGCCTTGCCTAATTTCAAGGGGATTGGCTCTGGGAGGGAACAGATGGGACGTCTCCGCCACAGCCCACGAGCATAGAGCACACACCCTTGTACTCACTGACGAATTTAAGAGAAAGAATGTTATCATTATAGGTGCCCTGTATGTCCTTCTCACATGCCAGCCCCTCTCCTTCCACCTCAGAGGTAACAATCATCCTGAATTTTGTATTTATTATTTTCTTGTTCTTCTTTAGAGTTTTACCACATATGATTGTGTCCTTCAATAACAGTATTCAGTTGTGCTTTTTTTTTTTTAAATCTCATTTTGTGACTTGACTTCTTCTGCTCAACATTATTTTACCTTTTTTCTGCACTGCTGGAGTTCATTCATTTTTCCCTGTTTTATAGATTTCCACTGAAGGAATAAAACAAATTCTTTATCCATTATGCTGTTGTATGGACATTTAGGTTGCCTTCAGTGTGGGATCTGAGAGAGGGTGCTGCTATATACATTCTAGTACATGTCTCCTGGTGGCTTGGGCAAAAATTGCTCTACGTAAGGTTATCTAAGATGGGATGTCTGAGATGCAAGTAGAAATGATAAGCATAGAAATTGGCAATTACATGAATCTCAACAAATTCTAACTATATAAGACAACGTAATAATGTCTTATGGGTTAAAAAAAACAAACAAGGAGGGCTTGTGGCTGCGTGGCTCAGTCCATTAAGCATCCGACTCTTGATCTCAGCTCAGGTCTTGATCTCGGGGTCGTGAGTTCAAGCCCGGTGTTGGGCTCCATGCTGGGTGTGGAGCCTACTTCAAAACAAAACAAAACAAGGATAAATATACCAAAACAATAACGATCATCTGGCAAGGATATTTGAAGACGAAATTGTTGACATCCTGACTATAGCATCATTGTTTCACAAGCAGTGACTGATAGTTAATTGAAATATTTTATCACAAGCAATGCAGATTCAAATGGATTGAAGCTAAAATAGCCTTGTAATGTTTGGGAGGATGATACATATATGTTTAATTTTTGACTTTGACATGTTAACTATGCATAATACAATTCTTTTTTTTTTTTTTAAGATTTTATTTATTTATTTGACAGAGAGAGACACAGTGAGAGGGGGAACACAAGTAGGGGGAGTGGGAGAGGGAGAAGCAGGCTTCCCGCTGAGCGGGGAGCCCGATGCGGGGCTCGATCCCAGGACCCTGGGCTCATGACCTGAGCCGAAGGCAGACGCTTAACGACTGAGCCACCCAGGCGCCCGCATAATACATTTCTAAGTTAATCACTAAGAGAAATCAGTAAAGATAAAAAAAAACAAAACACGGGGAAAACCACTCAATTCAAAAAATACAGGAGGAAAGAGGAAAAGAAAGGGTAAGACACATAGAAAGCACACAAAATAAGGGAGCAGAAATAGTTATAATAATAGAAATAAACTGGGTCTGTTTAAAGACAAATATTGTCACGGTAATTTTTGTTTTGTTTTGTTTTGTTTTGAGAGAAAATGCAAGAGCAGGGGCTGGGGGCAATGTGGCTCAGTGAGAGGCAGAGGAAAAGGGAGAGAATCTTAAGCAGACTCTGGGCTGAGTGAGGAGCCCAACACGGGCCTTGATCTCAAGACCTTCAGATCATGACCTGAGCCAAAACCAAAAGTTAGACACTTAACTGACTGAGCCATGCAGGGGCCCTTTTTTTTATTTATTTTATCTATTTATTTATTTATTTACAATTTTATTTATTTGACAGTGAGAGAGGGAACACAAGCTGGGGGAGTGGGAGAGGGAGAAGCAGGCTTCCCAACGAGCAGGGAGCCCGATGCGGGGCTCAATCCCAGGACCCCAGGATCGTGACCTGAGCCGAAGGCAGACGCTCAACGACTGAGCCACCCAGGCACCCGCAGGGGCCCTTTTTACAGTGATTTTTTTTTTTTATCAAATAGCCTCTCTGATGAGGAGGTGCCTCCAATAGGAGCGCAAGGTTCCCACACAAGGCTCTCTGGAACTAAGGGGTGATCCAGCATGGGCTATCTCCCCTCGGGCTGTGGGTTCAAGGCTCCAGGGAAAGAGTTTATATTAATGCTATATTGAGTTCTTGAAATAAATTACAATCTTTCCTGTTTGTTCCTGGACTGAAATAGTTTCAGCACCATTGAATTTACTTTTTCTTTAAATGTTAGCCCCATCTCAGCTCTCAAGCCATCTGGTTTGGATGTGATTTATAAAGTTTCCTCATAGATGTAGTCAAGAAAAACCAGGCCCCAAAGAATTAAGGTGGATGTTTAAATGGAAGTTGGAGATAAGCAGATGGGCTGTTTGACATGATATGGGTTATGAGAAGGGGAAGAACCACGTGTGGATCAAAGCCTCTCAGCCTGAGCACCTGCAGCAATGATTTGTCACCATCTGAGATGAAGACAACTGTGGGATCACAGGACAAAACCCTCCTGGATATGGAAAAGCAACTAGGCCATCTGATATAAAGACTTTCAGCTCATGAAAAGCATTTCTATACAAGTCTTCGGTGAAGAATTTCGGAATAATGAAAAATCCAGCACTCTGAAAATGCAGAAGATCATCCCCCTTGAAGAAGATCTCAAGGTTAATTAATTATACAGAAGAACCATGATGATTTGCAAAATTGCATGCATACAGATAATCAACAGTTTGGCCCTGGGGAAAATTTAAGGATAATCTGGCCCAAGGATGCAGTATCAGATAAGACCAGGGCGCTATTTAACTATGCTGCAATTGAACAATGCCCCTGGGAACCATGCAACACCGTGGCCCTGACTTGACCAATCTAATTCTACTTGAAGAGTTGGGGAGGAAGAGCTCGAGAGTGAACCTGTTTAGGAGCTACCTGCAATGCAAACCTTCCTTGGTGGAAAGAGAACTGTCATGCACTGGACCTTGTCATGGAACCAAGTCTGGGGTTGGCTTAGGAAGCCAATCTGAGCAGGAATGTAGACAAGTTGTCAATATTGACAACTTGTTTCTTTTATTCCTGGAAAACCACAGATCTCAGCTCTTCAGGCAAAACTTGGACTCCCGTGGAGCTAAACGATGAAGACTGGCACAAAAGAGACAGAGAAGAAGAGGTCATGTGGGACGCTCTTCAAAAGATGATTTGTTTCATTCATTGCAACTCATCTTCTTTTCATGGCAGGGTCTTTCTCACCACTGCTGTTGAAGAAACTTCCATGAGAGTTTTTGAAGAAAAAGAAGCAAAACCCAAAAGGTACCAGGAATTCTGATCGGCTGTGGATGGCAAAACGAAGCACCATATCACAGCTGAAGAAGGAAAAATGGCCTCCCGAAATGGAGCAGCTGGTTTCATTACACTGAGGGTGCCTAAAGATGGTCAGGAGGCCTTGGCCATTTGATTACAGATCAGAAAACCAGACATCCATGCCTCAAACGGATGCTCAGAACATGTAGGAAAAGCCAAGAAGTCTCATAACTGTGGCTTATTGAATATTTAATATGCTGCTTTAATATATAATGGGTGAAGATTTAATCAGAACACCCATTCCAAAAGGATAATTGAGTATTCTAAATGTATGAGCACCTGGAGGGGGAAAAGTATTGCTGTATTGATATAATAATAGCTGCTAATGAAATATCTATACCTTTGAAGACGAAATCATTGACAGACTGAGTACAGTATCATTGTTTCATGGAGCAGTGACTGGTAGTTAATTGGGATGTTTTATCACAAGGAATTAAGATTCAAATGAATGGAAAAATGTAAAAATTGTAGATTATCCCGTATTTCTCTATGAATAACAGATGTTACATTTTCGGTACCAATTTGAAGTTAGGAATGTAGATATTTAAGGTAATTCTTATTTTCAAGTGGCATTTTTTCAAGGAACTAAAACCATAAGAAAAACTGCCACAGTGAATAGGCTATCCACATAATTATGAAAAATTTCAGCTTTCAGAACCACTGTTCAGAAGGGTTAGGTTGAGTTTACAGGACTGTCCTCAAATGCTGGGACTGAAATCTCAAATAGGCAAGGCCTGAGTATCAGGTAACCTGCTCAATCTTGGTGTGAACGCCAAATAGCTTGGAATTTAAAGTACCTCGTTTCTTTGCAGCACTGTTTCTTCCGGATGGCTGAAAACATACTCCTTATAAGTTGATATCTCAAATCATTCATTTTAAAATATTACATGATACTTCAGAGGCTACCATTTCAGTCATCTTGCTTTTCAGACTCTTGAATCCAATTGTTTCCAACACAGAAAGAATTAATAATAATCCTTCACTAATCAAGGATCCTATCTACTTAAAGGGAACACTCCGAATGCATTCCATGTCAACTGTATTTTTATTGTGTACTGAAAGATGACATAAAAGCAAGAATGGATTTTCTGAACACATCAAGTCCTTTGTAGCCAATGAATATCGAATGTCACTATTAATGGGGAGGGAACTTCTGCTTTGGGTCAAGAGGTAATAACAGGGACTAGACTTGACGCCCACTTGAAGCAATTAAACACTCGAACAAAATATATAAACCAACTCTTTTCAGACATTGGACATCAGTCAATGCAGAACAATAAATTCTCTGAGAGAGGAGAAACAAAAAAAGCGAGACCTTGGATTGTTCCGTCCTACTACCTAATAAGAGTTTCCAGGCCACAGTGTAAGGAGGTGGAATGCCAGCAGAGCCCAGTAGTCTCCCTAAATTGAGAAGATGGAATTGGAGTACAAGGCAGCTAAAGTTCACAGGGCAGATTACCAGAGAGGAGAAAAAGAGAGAGAGAGATCTAGATCAGCAGGTCTCCCTTGAGTTTTTGGTCACATTGTGACCAATGTGGACATGTGAGAAAATGACCAAGGGCTGGGGGAAGAATCATTCAAAAGCATGAACCAATTGCTAGTGTTCCCATAGAGCCAGGGAGTGTTCCCA